TGCCCACGTGCTGGTGCCTAAACCGGGCTGTGGCAGAGGAGAGTGGGAGGGAGCGTGAGAAATCATCTAGTCTGCTGCCAAGGCAGCACTGGGTGCCTCCAAGCTAGTCCTGACAGGCAGCTGTCTCACCTATTTTTAGCAATTTGCTGGTGATGGAGAGAGCAAGTGATGGAATAAATCCTCCCCGGCAGCTGATTGCAGTGTTCCCCTGTCCTTAACATTAAATGTTTTCTGTGTTTGTATATGTATGTATGCTCAGGCTTCTTCTTTCCCAGGTGTGTAAGTCTCTTCCCTTGTGTGTCCTTAAGCACATGTCCTGCATCTTGTCCTGTCCTTGATGGATCAAGAGAACAGTACCGCAGCAGCTGTTTTATATAAATTACAGTTATCTCACCTTTTTTTTTTTTTTTTTTCTTATAGCAGTCTGACTAACATAGGTCAGTTTTTCCCACAGTGCGTTCCGGACCCTTAACCATTGCTGCTGCTCCCTGTCAGATCTTCTCTGGCTGGTCCAGCTCTTCCTTGGAGTGCACCATTGGTGGCTGAAGGTTCTGTCTGTGGGGACACTCGGGCTGCTGGCTGGGGTGGAAGGAAGGACATGCACATCCCACAGACTATGCAGCTGTCTCCTTATGTTCTTGGACCTATTTTATGTTATGGCTGGTATCCAGAGCTGTCTCCTCAGTCTAATTGTTCACGTTCATCTCTGGAATCTGTCTTAATTTTGGTGTGTTCATTGCAGTTCTTGCCACAAATTCATTGTGGTAATTCACATCAGTGTCAAGTACTGTGAAAAATGAGGCAGGAAGCAAAGAAATAAGTCCTGTGAGTGGGGTGACATCCTGAAGAACTGGGCTGTGAATCTTCATCATTTCTGGTTAATTTCTTATTAAAGTTTCAGCTAACTAATTTAGTTGCTGAACATGGTTGACCTGAGGATGAGACAGAGCTCCTTACTTAAAGTACTTCCCATCCCTGGAGGTTGCCTATTTTTATGAATCTTCTGTCCAAGCTTGCTTTTGCATTTCAATATGAAAGCCTGAAGTTTTAAGTGGCTTTTAAACCTCACTTGGATGTCTCCAGATGTTTGCATGCAAGGAGAGTGGCGACTCTATTTGACTGAAAACCACATCTGTCAGGCAGAATTCCTCTCCCTGTTCTTTTTTTGGTGGCAAGGTCTTTGCTGACTCCCAAGTACCCAACTTCTGGTTAGATCTCCTATGTTTCCTTGTGAGACTAAATAGCATCTGATAGATAAGTAATTTTCTACTGCCTTCAGGATTAGAATAACTGAGCACTGTTGTCTCTGGCACGAAGCTGTGTTCTTTTAACACGCTGTTCTGCTTCTGCCTCTCAAAGATGAAGAAAAATACATTTAAGGGAGGGATTGTGATTTCTTTAATTGGAAAACCTGCAACTGTGGACTATTCCTGCCAATGCTTAGTGTGAGTCCTGAGATCATTCATGGATGTGTGTCCTATGGTTGCACGGGCTTGGTTTTCTCAAAGAATGATTTGCTAAGTGGGAATTTAGCATTGAGCAGTCTTCTGTGTTAGCTAGGTAGTTTTCTTTGGGGATGATGAGCGTAATAGTATGCTTGTTTGTTGACTTGCTCCAAGGATTAAAGGAAGAGATTACTAAGTAGGTGGGAAATACAGTCTTTACCCCAAAATTAAGTTCATTGGGGTGGGAGGACGGGACCAACCTTGAAGAGGCTGGGAGGGCTGAAGCAGGGCAGCTAGGTTCCAGGGCAGGCAGGCAGGTTCTGTGGAGAGGCAGGCAGCTAGTCTTGGCACACAGTGAAGGGAGTCTTTGTATTTTCATTTCCCTTTTGTGCAGAAGCTGTAGTAACAGGCATGCCGTTGGAAAGTCAGTCTCATCAAAAAAGGAGGTGGAGAGTCTTCGCTTGCTGATGGCAGTCCAGCAGGGTGGATATTTCTGGAGCTATGGGGTTTTTCCAGCTGTACTCTGACATTGAAAGACTCCTTTATGCGGGTGCAGTATGGAAGTTGCACGTGTTGGAAGCCAAGAATTTCAACAGAGGATGGTTGTGCAGGATGTAAAATACACAGTAGTAGATGTACATAGAGAGCAGATCACTCAATGGTTAATTCAGTGAGTAGTTTGGACTGTGGTGTGGAGGTGTGGAATAGCAGGTACTGTTTAAAACCTTGCTTGAGAAGCAGACTACAAACTCTGCTTTTATTCTCATAGCTCATTTTGCTTGTACTCTGGGAAGGTGGTCTAACTGTAGAGCGGGGTTAATTACCTGGATAAACTAGAGGGGGGGAAAAAAACCGACTGTATTCAAACTGCCTACGTCTGTGTTGCTGTAGCCAACTGGCTTGACAGCATGATGGATTGAAGGAATGCGTAGGATTTGCTGAAAATGTTTGATTGTGAATTTCATCTATCCCTTCCCTGCTTTGCTAGATGTCAGTCAAGTATTACAGGAGCAAATCTTTACTGATACAGCTCTTCTCTGACATGTTCCATACAGACTAGGTTGGTTGTGTCGCTAAGCAATCAATTTTCAACTGCTTTTCCATCCCCAGGACCTTTTCCCAAGACATTCGCTCAGAGCTACTTAAGGCTGGTGTCCTGCCTGTACGAGGGCTTTCCTTGTCAGCGCTGCTGGGGTAGCCTCAGCTGGCAACAGCTTATTCTAGCAAACTGTGTATCAGCCAAAACCACAACTCCGCAAGGATGTGCCAGTGCTGATTTAAACTTTCAGGAAAGGCTTCAGGAGAGGTGCCAGGGTGGACTTCACGCTCCAAGAGACAGATCAGCTGCCTGGCTCTTCTGGGGAAATAATTTCCTTATCTTAAGATGCTCGTGGAGGACTCGGATTCTATCTCTGAAAGTTTGGTTCAGTGGGGGACTTAAAGATGGTGTTTTGCTATAGGACTTAAGAAAATATAGGATCGTAGAATGGCTTAGGTTGGAAGGGGCCTTGAAGATGGAGTTCCAACCCCCCTGCTGTAGGTAGGGACACCTCCCACTAGACCAGGTTGCCCAAGGCCACGTCCAGCCTGGCCTTGAACACCTCCAGGGATGGGGCCTCAACAACCTCTCTGGACAACCTGTGCCAGTGCCTTACCACCCTTAAAGTAAAAAACTTCTTCCTAATGTTTAATCTAAATGTATTGGCAAATAAAGCTCAGGACCTTTTCAGAAAGGAAAGGCTGGTACTTTGGTCTCCATTTGGCGTGAAAAGGCCTTAGTACTGCTCTTCACCAAGCACTTGTGTATTTTATTAAATCAAACCCTTGCAGCGGAGTTGTATTCTGTCCCAGCATGGACCTGAAACCTCTGAACTGCTTTAACCCAGCCGTAGTGCCGTGGGTTATTGCATTTCAAAGCCATGCTGGGATCTTGGTGGTTGTTCAAGTACCTTCAGTACTTTGCTGAAGTAGTTGTCACAGTATGACACAGTTTGCTTTCGTCATGATTCACTCTATTCTTAAGTATGCTTTTTGGGTGTTTATTCTAGAATAATAAAGTTTTTGCTTCCCACCAGTACTGTGGAAGGATTTGAGTTCTTTAGCCCTCCCACATCTATCCTGTACTGTGACTGTTAGTGAATTATTGGATGCTTATAAGGAGTGCGTTGTCTTTTATTTTGGTAGCATTTAAATTAATTGAAGGAACACCTATCCTCATTTCTTCTTCTAGGAAGATGATGCGCTGAGATTGCTGCAAAGCTGTGTATTGCTGGGGAGACAGGCACAGACTCTTCTCTGTTAATTTTACATACCACATCTGTGTTTTCCAGGAAACTGGTAGGATGAAATATGTGTGGACATTTGCTTAGAGCTTGGGAGACTTAAAAAAAAAAAAAAAAATAAAAAAAAATCTTGGTTTGTTTTTGGTTTTCCCCCAAGTCAGCCCATTTTGAATAAACTCACACAGCTGTAAATGACCACATTCATAGTTACAGGGAGTACCAAAATACCAGCCTTCACCTGAAGTCTGCTGGCTAACTGTGTGTGAGCCCTGTACCCTCTGATTAATCCCAAATAAATCACCAGGAATGCAAAGGAAAGGCGGTTTCACTCAAGTTACAGGCAGGCTGGGATGTTTACCTGAGCTGTTTGAGCTCTTTAGAAAGAGAAATAATGTTGTCAAACTATTCTTTGTTGCTTGTCACATGTAAATGTACCCTTAGAGATTATAATTTAACTGATGTTAATGTGGTCTGAGCTCTGTCTGGTTATAAACCGCTTTACAAGCAAAGCATAGGAAAGCCATAGCATTGTTTGGCTTAGGGATTTATCCTGCTTTTTATTTAACTGCCCTATTGCCGGTTGCAACTCTGCAAGTTGTTTACTACTTAAACAGGTTGAGCAGTTTTTGGTGTTGAGTCTTGGTCTACAAACCAGATCCGATCCCTTGCTGTACCAGAGTTGTATTTCCAGCCTGAGGATAAACAACTCCAGTTTGTGTTGTCACAAATCCTGTGGCACTGGAGTTTAGAAGAGTCATTGGTGGAAGAGGGAAATAAAACAGCCTGTCACCTGCTGGAGATAGAAAATAGATCAGTTGTGCTGAAACAAAGAGGCTATTCTGCCTGAATCCTGCAGTGCTGATGGCAAAACACATTTCTATCACTTCTTATAAATCTTTTTGGGGTGGGCGGGGGTGGCATTTAGAGCTAGAGGAGCTATGGTATGCCTTTCCCAATCTTTCTTGCAGGTGTAGTTTTTGGAGAGGGCATGATAATTCGTGGAGTGATTCGCTCTGGTGTTCTCAGATTGGGAAAATTTACTGTGGTTATTAGTTTGGGGGTTTTGGGTGGGGAGGTGGAAATTTGATCACCGCAGGGAAAAGCAGACAGTATTCCAAGGAGACCGATCACTTCTTTGCTTTTGCTTTGCAGTCCTCCATGCTGAACTGTAACAAGTGTTTCATTCAGGGAGAGCTTTGCAGGACCATCTTTATAGCCTTAGCAACCCTCTCAATAATTTCCTGAACTGGTGTTTTTGTGTTCCCTTGTACAGGGCCTACGCAGAAGATTCGTCCTCTGTAAAACATGATCCAAGGACAGAGCCAAGCGAGAAGGTGAAGCACGAGGAGGAAGAGGAGAACAGCGGCAGTGAGGGTAGAAAGGCCGTTGCATCAGGAGATGAGGAAGCTCAGCCAGAAGGGAAGAAGAAGAAGCGTTCTGGGTTCAGGGACCGGAAGGTACCAAACTTGGGCACGTTAAACATGCAGCTGTTGTGCTGCAGTGGAAAAAGGGAGAAAACTTGCAGAACACTTTATTCAGGTTGTGGTACAGTGTGTGTGTGGAGTCTGACTTTTGCTCAGTACTTCTCTTTATTTTGTAAGGGACCTTGGTGTTTTGGGAGCTGCCTTTCTTGGCATGATACCTTGAGTTTCTTTAGGTTGGAACTTGTTGATTTGGAAAGCACAGTATACTGATCCTCTGAAATGGAGACCTCTGTTCCCATCTCCAGTTGGATGTCCAAGAAGTGGCTCCCTGAGAAATCAAGGCTTCCTGCCTTGATCGCTGTTAGGATGGTGCATGCAAAGTAGGGAATCAGTGCAAGGTCTTTAAAACCATCACGGGCATCCAGCATGTGTCTCTGTGTGAATCTGTCCATTTGTGTGTGTTCACAGGCAAATGGGCAGTGTATGTAGGAAGTAGAAGAGGATGAGTGTGGGAGGGAGGGCTATAGGAGAGGTGTAGTTTAATTTTTCCTCTAATTATTCCATGTAAACATGGTGGTTGAAATACAGCCTCACTTGCTATTCACAGTTAGTCCTGTCTCTCTTGATGCTTATGCCTATTTAATCTTCATATCGGGCACCTTTTCGAGAGGAGGAAAGCTTGAGTGGCGAATTTTATTGTCAATTTGTGACCTGCCTTCACTGTTGGGCAATCCTGAGAGCTTTGGGCTCCTCAGAACTGTCAGACAACTAGTTTGGTACTATCTGTAACCTCTGTTATTACAAGATGTACAATTTGGTCTGATGGAGAGTCCTGTAACTGAGAGTTGGCAGACAGCAGTATTTTATTTTTTAAACCTGTCTGGATGTTGGTTTTATTGGCCTGTGTTTGATGATTTAATATCTTCGCAGTGCCAAAGAGGAGAACCGGGAGTATATGCTCTTCACAATCCTTTCTATATGATTTGCTTCTGATAATTATTTTTAAGTATGTATCCTGGAGGCTGCATCTCATTAGCTGTTAAATTGTGGATGGTTGTATATAGTGGCTTAACAGCTTTTCATTAAAAAAAAAAGCTGTTTTGTTTGAAGTTGCTGAATCATAGTCTGCTCTTGGTTAGAGTAAGTTGCACAACTTGAAACTTCAAGTGCCTTGTGCTATTTGGGACTCCAGACTTTCCCTGTTGTGACATGCTCGTGGCAGCTCAGCGAAGCTTTGTTGTAAGATACTATGTTGAGATATTAAGAATTGTCCAGGAATTTGGGTTCTCAGCTTCTGCTAACTTTCTTGGCAACTGAGTGTCAGGGAGACTGACAGCTTCAGCAAAACTTCGGCTCTTGTCAGTACCACTCAAGAAAGGCGGGTTATTTTTTCCAGTGTCAGCAGATGGAGGCAGGTTGCAAAGAGCAAAGAAATGATCCACCTTCATCCACGCTCTTATTTTTAAAAAAACATTTGTTGATACAGTGAAGGTAATGATTGATTTTTGTCTTACATGGCTGGTTGTTTCTGGCTAGGGAAGCCAGAGAAGGTTTGTTGGCAAGCGAGGACTTCTATTCCAGTTGTTAGGAGACGTGCCTATGTTGACCAGCTCTTTCCTTCCCATACTAGGCAGGAAGGAACGTGGCTGTGCTTGCCAAACAAAACATGAGCCAGGCGTGGAGGGTGACCAAGAGGTCTGATGGGAACGACGTTCAGCCTGGATCCTTTCTCAGTCCACAGCCTTCCTTTCTCCTATGGTGCTCAACTCAGGAGCAGCAGTTTCAGCAGGGAGAGTAGCTTAAAACAGACCTCATGATCTTTCACCAACATAAACCCTTTTTTCTCCATCCTTAAGTCCAAATGTCCCTTCTGTGACCTCAATGCTAGTGTTGCTTTTGCTTCGTTTACTGCAGGCTGTAACCGGTAGTCTCCCAGGCGCTGGGATCTGTGTTTGTTTGAGCGGCTCCATGTGGGCTTGGTGTTTGATCAGGAGTTGCCCTAGTGAGTCATCTCAGGAGGTAGGTTTGAATGCTTCAGGCTCAGATGGCAGAGGAAGGTGCGCCCTGGCTCCTGACTCAAAATCGGGGCTGCTCCCAGGATGTGCTGCTCCCCTAATCCATTGCGTAGCACCTAGGGAATTCCTGACTCTTCTATATGCTTTTAAAAAAACAAACAACAAAACCCACAGTGAAAACCCTTTCCAACTCCTCCCATAATTAACTGAAAATAATGTGGTGTTTTCTTTGAGGAAAAAAATTAAGCTTAATTGAACGTGTTTAACACTTGTTTGTTATCCCAATGTTGCTTTTAATGAAGTTGATGATTAGTGGTGAAATAATAAATTAGGCATGACATTGCTATTTTGGGTAGTGATTCAGGGAAGAGGAAGTTGAAATAAATCACTTGGCATCTGCTGGGGCTGAGATCGTGTGCGGCTGGTTCCAGGGCGCGTGTTGTCTTGCAGCCTATGCAATGTGTAGGTCCTGACTGCATAAGGGAGGAAAGGAAAAGATTGTTTAAGGGCTTTTATAGTTTGAAGGCTAATGAGCAGTAGTACATGATGTGGGTGTGCTAACACGTTAATTAATTTGCTAAAAGAGTTTGCATGCAGCAGTAGGACTGCTTTATCAAGATCCGCTTGCAGTGTTTGCTGGGTCCTGCAGGTATGCTGCCTTAGGAGTGTTAGTCATGCAAAGACGTCATTTTAGTGTGCATTACAGTAGGAAACCCAAAGAAAATGAATCCTAATTAATTAATTTACCCTGCGAAGATGCGTGCAGTGGAGCTGGACTGCCAGAGTTCCCGTTCTGCTGCACAGTCAGGGAGGCCCCAGTGATGCTCTGGAAGTGAATTGAGATGTTAATGTAGAGCTTTATTTTCATGTCTGCACAGGATTTAATTTTTTTTCCCTTTAACCTGTGGCTTAGCATAAACGTTGACTGTCTCAACAGCAGCTTTGCTCTTGTAGAGCAATAGTGATTACTTGCTCATCTTTCTCCTCCAGTACCTCCTCTATTAATAAATACCAAAAAGGGACTCTTCGCTTTTAATCACACAATATCTTTCTGGAGACTGCTGATTACATGAGACTGCAGTTCTTGGGGCAGGATGGTGTCCGCTGCATTGAGGACTGGTGCGTACTGGGGGAAGGCAACCACCTGGGTGCACGCTTTGCCTCCCTGCTTGAGGGCTGCGTATTCAAAATTGCTTCCTCATGAGTGTCTGGCAGTCATCCGAGGAAGCTGTGTGTTTTGCCGTGTGCGTGGATAGAAGATGGGATTGGCAAATGATCTAGGAAAGGGCCACATAGGAAATAGACGCTTCGCTTCGGTGTCAATTGATGATCGTGGTGGACTTAAAGGTTGCAGTGTGGATCTGAATGGGGTGTTGGAAAATCCCTGTGCCTGAAGTTGAAGCAAAATGTAGAGTGCTTAACATCAATAAAGCAGGGCCTTGAGCATTACCCTGAGCTTGGGATAAGAAAAAGGTGGCAGTGAAGTTGGACCGGTAAGGGAGGAGTCTTGGTAAAGATGCGAGACAATATCCATACTCCAAAAATAAGACGGAAAGTACTTGACAGCAACAGGCTTGTCAGTAGTGTCGTGGCTGAAATGGCCACCACCAGGACAAGTAGCATCTTAGTAAGATCTTCAAAGAGATACAGAGGAAGGATCTGTTGCTGATGAGAAGTTGAATGGGATGCAACGTGGTTTTGCTGGCAGAAATGTCAAGACTAATGTCTCTGGTGCAGCAGTGGAGTTCTTGAGTAAAAGAGGTGCGACTTACCTAGCTGGATTGAAGGAAGGGGTTTGATAGTGCCTTGCAAGAAATATTCCACCGGCTTGGAAGATCAGGAGTAATGTAAAGTCTCAGGCAGACCAGTGTTTTAGCTAGAAAGCAGGCTGTGTTGAAGAGGTGTCATGGATGGAGGGAGCTGTTGGTTGTGGTCTGCGGTGTTGGCTCTTGACTCTGGTCCTGAGCTTGACACTGTAGCTGGTTTTAGTTGTCCTGCTCGAAGGTAGAAGTCTGTAGCTATGGTTTTTGGCTGATGGAGTTGGGTGGGGTGTTGCTTGTAATGAGAGCAGGTCATGCTACAGGAAGGAGTGAGATACACGCCTGCAATCACAAGTCAAAAGATCACTTGGGCATAACAAGTTACGGCCTGCCAGGTGGGAGCTGTAGACAAAGACACATGCAGCTTTGCAACTGGAAAGAGCCGGGAAAGTGCGTATTGTCCTTTACTGCGGTTTGGCTGAGCGACTGCGACTTGTAACTTTGCAATAAAACAACTGCTTTTGATCTACTGCCCTTATCTTTGGAGGACCTTGTGGACTGAAGCGATAAAAATGGGATGATGTTTGATTCTAGGTGCAAAGGCTAGTAACAAAAGGGAGGAGTGACAAACATTTTGTTCTGTGCTGGTGGCTACAGGAAAGAGGGGGCTGGTTATATTGGTTGATACAAGGACATTTCTGTGTTCCTGATGGGCTTGACTATAAAAAAAGCTATGGTGATGCAAAGAATAATAGGGAGAATGCTTTAGATAATGTCAAAGCTGTATCAGTGGGACTTTCTGCCGCATGTTGCTCGTCCCCTGATCTCATTTGCCAGAGAGCTGAGCTGGAAGAAGTGTAGAAGAGAGAGGCTCTGCTTTCCCCTAGCTACTTTACCCAAGCTTGGGTTGGGGGATTAAAAGCCTTTGGCTTGTTTCATCCTAGAAATATGAAAAATTAGAGAGGGTGTTTTCTTTCTGATAAACATCAGGGTGGAGAAGCTGTTGGAGTTAAAGGACAAGGCTGAAACGAGACCAAAGCCATAAATGATCTACAGATACCTTGGCAGTATCCTTGATCTTGCCTGTTTTCTTCCAGCAGATCATTGGTTGGGTTGGTTTTCTTTCTCCTGTGGCTCTTGGCCGAAAGTACTGAAGGTTTCTTGTACATTATGAACTATTAAACATGGTGTATAATGCAGGAATAAAAAACTGAACTAAGAAGGAAAGTTTTCTGCTCTAATACTCAACGAAGTGTAGGTCTTTGTGCTTTTTTTCCTCCCTTGTGGCCTTATGTTGTGATTTTTGTTTGTAAAAGCTTTCTGTTCTCTTTGATTAATTCTAGCTGTGTGTGGGGAAAACAGTTCTAGCTACAAAATAATCGCTACTGGCAGAGTTAGCAAGTGGCAGATTGGTGGGGAGAAGAGGAAAGAATAAAGAATGTTTCTGCAGAATTTTACTAATGTGATAGAAAAGAGGAAAAAATGAGGTTGGGTGCCTGAGCAACCAGCTGTGGCTCCAAGTAGTTTTTCTCCAAGACTCAGCTTGAAAGTAAAGGTCTCTCCCAGCTCTCCAAGACTTTTCTTTTACTTCATTTATTAATCATAAATCAGACCCTTCAACACCGTGGTTAAAAATGTTGAGCTGCTTTAGTTTCACGGATGTGATAGTAGTGAGTTTTTTTTTATGTTCATGTTTAAAAAAGCCATCGGGGATTTTGTTAATTTTTCTCTACCATCACGAGGAGTTAAAACTCATCAATAGTAAAGGCTTTTAGTGTTTGTTCTTAATTCTGGGACGTCAGGAGTTGATACTTATAATTTTCCTGGTAGTCTAAAGGCTGAGCATAGGAGGGATTTTAACCCTTTCAGCATTATTTCTTTTAAGTGTTGTGTTGCTGCACACAACTTTGTTGTCATGTGGCAACACCTTCAGAGGACTAAGGTGCTGATGTAGGTGCTGGGGAGGAACCGTGCATGTCTAATGCTGGTTAAATTTCATTTCCAGGTGATGGAATATGAGAACAGGATCAGAGCCTACTCCACACCGGACAAAATCTTCAGATACTTTGCTACTTTGAAAGTCATAAACGAGCATGGTGAATCAGAGGTTTTTATGACACCGCAGGATTTCGTGAGATCAATAACACCTAATGAAAAACAACCAGAAAGTAAGTGATGTGTGTGTAATAATTGGAGAAACTAATACAGCGGAGGGGAATAAACTCTCCAGTCACTGCTTACCTGATCTTTAAATTTCCCATCAGAGAGTTATGTTGTCGGGTATTGTCTGTCTTGTTATGTTAAGAGGTAAGGCACACGTCGTGTTTTCAGCCTATGCGTTATGGCAGTGCAATGATGTGCAGAAGGATGATGAAGATGTAAAGAATGCAGGGGCGAGGCAGAAAGCTACCAGTGCAGCTGCACAGGAGCCACACTCCTCTCTCCAGCAGAGCCTGCAGCATGTCCATGCTGGCTTTAACTTGGCTGACTGGCAGCAGCGTGGTGCTGCCAAATAACGGGGATCATTCAGGTTTAGAAGTGCTGGTTGCGTTATGCTGCTTGAGAGGTTTGAACCCAGGATTGGCAGAGCTAGAAAGCACCTCCTGAAGCTATCTCTTCCATCTCCATGCTCCAAACCCAAAATTAGCCTAATCCCTTCCATGTTGCCTGAAGCACTGTTGCAGTAGGTTTCGTTGGTTTGAGCCCTTAAAGAGCAGATGAGATGACTTTCTTGCATGTTTAACAGTTTACCTTCAATGGAAACATCTTAAGAACTATTCATAAACCTACAAAAGAGGTTGCTTCAGCAAGGAAAACCTTAGCAAGAAAGTGGTCCAGGCAGCCCCATGTGCCCAGCTGAACTGTGATGCTGCTGGCCAGAGTGGGGCACATCTTCATGGGCTTCAGTTTTCCTGCAGATTGAGGGGAAGCATGTCAGCTGTGGTACCCGTGGGGGTTTAGCAGGCAACAGGCAGGAGAGCAGATGCTGTTTCTTTCAGTCTGGAAAGCTACACCTGAGCATTTGGTAACAGATTGGTTTTTGTGGGGTGGCAGGAGGATTTTACCTGTCTTCTTTTTGGAGGAGATTGATGGTTTGGGTGAGACATGGAAAATCAGATTTCTTGGTCTCCCCCAGTATATGTCAAAGAATGAAACAGACTTTTATCAAATTAAAACTTCTCTTCTCTCTACAGGCATTAACGAAGAACCTCAGCCCCCAAATGTTAACTTTATGAGAGTAGGGTTTATGTACAAACTGTGAAATCGTTTTGATACCTTAGATGACAGTTGCTAAATAAATACCATGTCCACTTGTGTTTAGAAAACAACAACATGAAGTGTGTGCGGGAGGGAATTAAAAAATAATCCTGGCATTAGTGTTAAGCATGTTGGTGAAGGGATATTTAGGTTTTCATCAAGTCCTGAAAATGGCTGTAGCTTTCATCTGAATTACATAGTTTCATCTTCAGTGAAGTAGTTTGAGCAATAAACAGAAGATAATGTTGATAGATGCTGAAATGGTGTGTTACTGTCTTGTCTCTCTGAAGCTTGAATTGGTACTTTGAAAAGCAGCAGCACCTGGTGGAGTGCGAGTCTTCCTATGCATTATTTTTTTTTGTCAGCCAGCTAAGAATAGAAAACATTCTATGTTTAAAAAAGCCAATTCTCTTTTACTTATTCCATGTAATATGTGTGCTCGGTGCGTTTTAAAGTACACACAGAAAATAGGTGGAAGAGTGCTCAGAAAACATCTACTTCAGAGACAAGCAAAGGTGACTAATGGGAAATAATTTGTGAGTCTTAGCCACTAACTTGCCATTGTAACTATTATTATCCTGGCTAGGTGAGCTGCTTAAATGGTCTCATGAAGCCTGTTGTGCCTTTAAATGCCTACAAATACTTCCATTCAGTGACACAGAGCAGCCTATAAGGGAAGAAAATTGCTTTAGTGATACTTACAGGTGCTCTTGGAAAGTGGAATGAGATGGAAATTGAGCTTTGGCTGCCCATCAGCAGGCAAAGCAGGAGCATGGGCATCTTAACACTTGTTGGTTTGAAAATCTGTCTTGAGGACTGTTACTGTCATAGACTTGCTTCTAGATGAAGCTGCTGCTACGATGGTCGTTCCTTACGAGCGCTGTCCATCATGACAATTGTTAAATGTTTTTTTTAATACATAATGAACAGTAGAAGAATAAAACATAAATGCTACAGTAAAGTCAAACCGGCCATAACCTTGTTCCCAAATGTTTTAAAAGCTGGTAGTAAAAAGAAAAAAAAAGGTCTGATTTAAAACCAGAAGTTAAAGATAAAGACCAAACAAAAAAAAGGTCTGATTTTAAAACCAGAAGTTAAAGATAAAGACTGCTACCTGCTGGCTGTTTTATTTCTGTACTTGACATCCGTTTGGTACTTCTGACTCATAGGATAATGTAGATAATAGATAAATAGGGAAATGCCAGGGCTGCTTTCTCCCTTCGTCATGACTTGGGTGTGCCCTCCGCGGGGGCTGGAGCATCCCACCTTCATCCCAGGGCACAGCTGGGAGCAGTGACATAGCCGGAGTGCTCCTTGGAAATCTCCTTCAGGTAGTGACATAGCCTGCTGTAATCCTTCTAGCTAGGTAGGTTAATGCCTGAACTGAATTACGGATTACTTCCTGCAGTCCCACTGACCCCAAGGTTTTCCGTGAGTGGTGTTTGTTGGTAGGTTTGTGCGGTGAAGCAGTCGCCTTCTGGTCCTGTGGATTAATACGGTTCTGCATAAGCAGTCCAAGGCGTGAGGAGAGCAGGGGATGCTCTGTATGCTCAAGCTGCCGGTTGTAATTTCAGCGAGTAACTTCTTGTTAATGTGTCTGCTATTTTACGGAGAGAAAATACTGTGGAATATAAGTGATATGGAGTAATGAGGTATCCAAGTCCCTGTTGTACTTATTTTTAAACTACTAATCTACTGTGAAGTATCTTATGCCTGATTCATTTTTATGGGTTACGTAAGGGAAAGTTTGATTTATTGTCAATAAAGTGTCACCTTAATTCTAGACTGTGTTTTGCTTGCTTGGGGAAAATGAATGCCAATTCATTAGCTCCTCTGGATTGCTTTCTCTTAATAGTTCAGTAAAACTTTCTGCTATAGCTTTCCTAAGGAGACAAGATGTACTTGAGGTGTGACACGTTCTTTCTGAGCTTGGAAGTGTCTGTCAGAGTAAGCCAAAGAATGGCATTAAACTTGGAAACTGCTTTAAAACAGAAAAAAAATAAATCTTTATATGCTATCTGGAAAGTCCAAGCTCCAACAGAAGCGTGGGCAGTGATATCTGCTCCCTGCAGTCCTGTGTTGGGTTTTTTTCCTCCCCCTTCCTCTGGTACCCGAGAGGTTGCTCGGTTCCAAGGCTGGATGAACAGGGATGGATGCTTCATACCTGGCGCTTGCTTGGTACCCCAGCCCAAAACCAGCTGAAAATACAACAGTCTCAGGTGGGAAGGGAAAGGGTTTGTGGGAAAAAACAACAACAACAACAAAAAAAAACCCACCAAAACCCCAACAACAACAAAAAAACCAAAACAACAAAAAAAAACCCCAACCAAACAAAAACCAACAAACCCCAACACTTTAGATGCTGCAGCTCTTCAGCAACAGCACGGGCTTTTGCTGAAAAAGGTGTATGAAGCCAATGACGCTTCGCAGGAGCCATAACTGTTCTTGCCACTTTCAGGTTGTTACTGGCACATTCTCTGTAGTCCTCCATAGCGGTTGGCCTGCATGAATGTTTCCAAGTGTTTGGACCTGCTTGCTGGTGGCTTGCCCAGTCATCCTCCATTTCCTAGTCTCTGAGTTCCCTCAATTTCCCCAACTTTCTTTGCTTCTGTTCTGCATTGATCATTTTCCTGGGGAAAGTGAGTGAGTATTTTGCGGCATCCTCGACTGAAAAGGAGAGCTGTGACATACTAAGCCAGTATCAGGTGGGTGGTTTTGGTCTTTGCAATAAGGGTTAAAAGAAGTAAAAAAGGCTTCATATCTAATCATGGCATGCTGTAACGAATAGCGGTTATACCCAAACCAGCCTGCTCTTCCCCCCCTGTGTTAACCTCCCTGGTTAACTCAAACTCCTGCCGTGTGAAAGATGCCTTTCAAGATCCACCATGTTCTGCAGCAGCTCCAATATCTGAAGTCTTGGAAATGCACTGGAAGGTTGTTTTGTTTTGGTTTTTTTTTTGTCTGCAAGAAACCATGAACATGCTGTTGAAGCTCAGCCAGAAGCAGTAGCTGTGCCCCTGCAGCCTCTGCGCACAGGACCGTGTTGGAGGAGAGGAGCTGTGAAGGACAAAGCCCATGTCTGGTGACTTGATCAGACCGTGGAGCTTGATTCTAGGTTTTGAAATGGTTTGTTTTTCATGTCTGGACTTCATGAGCAGCTGAGCCCAAGCTGGCTTCTGGATTGTTGCAGTGCTTGAGTGATTATTTGTTATTTTGATTTAAGTTTGTAAAATGCTGACTTGGTCTTCTGCAGAAGCAGCAGTCATGAGCCCTGACAAGCACTCACCTGGTCAGGGGGAGGGGGAGGACTCCCTAGGCTTGTACAGATCCCTAAACTTGAGCAAAGTGTTCAGCTGGGTATTTAAGATCCAGAAGGAAACTAGAGATGCTAAATTTGTCTTCTAGATTGGTAATGGAGACTTAATGTTTGTGTTCTCCCCCAAATACGTGTGCTGGAGAGGCCTTCAGGGAAAGGGTGTCAGTAAGAAGGGGAGCTAATTTAGTGGTTATCTCCCTGAACCAGGAGGGTGAAGAGATGTGGGTTTTTTCTTCTGTGAAAATGTCATTCCTCAGCAAGGATCATCTTGGAGCCTGTCATGCCTGATGCGAGACCCCAGGAACCTAGCCAAGGAGGAGCAAGTGAAAATTGAATTTACGTGCATGCTTATGTGATGGTCATCAGAAGAAACACAATTCCAGTATAATTAGGTCTTCCAGTATAGATTAGGGGGTGGTACGGCTGATCTGTTGTCTTATGAATGCGTATCTCATAGAAACACTGACCTGCCTGTTGAAGGTGGAGACAGATGAGAGCAAAGTAGTTCATAGTACGAAATAGTTCTGGACCTTAACGCAAACCTGAGAGTGTTGCCCCCTGAGAAATCTCGGGCAGCTCACTGTTGGCTTGCAGATTACATTTTAAATTCAAGGGAAAATACTCATACAAAGCTGAGTTACAGCTCTGGAGGGGAAAACTTGGTCCAGCGTTTTCTCCTCCTGTAACGTAGCAGGTGCGTGCATGGTTAGCAGGCTCTTCAGTCTTGGTAATTAGTCCTTTTTCTCATCTACTTGAAAGAAAAAGAGTCGATGTTATATATCAGGCAACAGGAAAGGAGAAGCAGGTGATGAGTAAATGTCACCCAAATTATGTGAAAAATCTGACAAGGATATAATGACTGGAAGGAGTTGAAAAGGTTTTTCTGTCAGTAGAAAACTGCTGGTGTCCCAGTGGAAATCATGACGGTTTCTAATTGACCTCAACTGTGTTCTTGGCATAATACAATGGTACTTCTGGAAGTCTGTTTGTTAAATATTATTTTTTTTAAAACTGCAATCTATCATCTGCTGCCCATGGCTTTTTTTTTTTACAGTATAACACGAAGAGCTTAGTAATTGTTTAGATATTTAGCGAGTGTACTAATTAGCTAGCTTTGAGTGAATGTGTGGCATGTATGTTTTCATTAATCAATAGGAATATAATAAGAATTTGACTTTAGATTTGATTAGAGCTGAACCAGAGTAACAGCAGGTTATTCTGTGGTTTTTTTCCTCTGTATAAATAACTCCTCCTTCATTAAAACATCCTTGCCAGCCCCAAAAGAAAGAAGTAAACGCAGAGAATGTGGTTCTCCTGTTGAACACCCTCTTTTCCCCATCGTGGCAGGCAGGGAGTGTAAGTCGCTTTGATTTATTTTGAAACAGTTTTATTTTTAGAGTGCTGTGAAAGTACCATAAGAATGGGGGCCGTTATTCTTAGTATTGATGAGTGAGCGCTGTCAGTCTACTCTGAAATAACACTTACAGTGATGCCACTTGCTTAGCTACTCCCCGGCACTGCTGCTGTTTCTTTTGGTCCCGCTTTAGGCGGTATCAGAATATGTCGGAGTAATACGTAGTGGTACTTAAAGATTAAAAGTAAACTAGCTATGGCAAGCAAATCTGGAAGTGGTTGCAGGTCCTCAATGGCGCTGCTGAAGGTGGTGCAGAACCCTTGACTGGCTGAGCAAAAGGGGCTTTGATAAGTCAAATGTGTAGTGAAAGGTGAGGTGTTGTACAGTGTTTCGTGTAAATAAAAGGTGTGTTCTGGGGCAGGTCATGGCAAAAAGCTGTGGGTTTGTTCCAGCAGAAGCAAGCACCGAAGCCCAAGTGCTCTGGGCGGTCGCTCTGCTATCTGGAGTAGCTGTGGTGTGTGTTGCGCTGCATTTAGGTCCCGGGGAGGCTTCATGAAGCAGCCAGGTATCCTCCTGAAATGACTTCTGGATTTCACTGCTGTCTCTTTTGGAGGAAATCCTTTAATCCATTTCTAGGAGAATGGTATTTCAGCCCCTGCTTTTCAGTGAAAGGTGGAAAAGCTCTTTTTTTTACTGTTAAACATTCCTGTTAGCTTGTGTTCCTGCAGCTTGTCAGCAGTAGCCCAGCCAGGGGATATTTGTTTTAACTGTATCACTTACAGACGATCCTGCAGTAGCTTTAACTTAGCACGCTGCCTTTTGAATAGCAGAGATTTAATAACTAACATTCTTTCCTTTCCTTGTTCAGATGTGATTGTCCTCAGTCGTGCAGTGTTTCCATCAGCTCTCCAGCCTACGCAAACGCTATTCCTATTGTAAAGTCTCGGCGGAAAAGCCTTGTGGGTTCTTTTTATGTAATGTAAAGAAAGAACAACACAGGCGTCAGGCAGCCTCTTGTTTCTTGCTTTCCTTTTGTTAGCTTTTAAGATTAAACACTTGTGAAAAAACACGTAGCCAAGTCCATGAAAAAGAAAATAAACTCTATTGGAAAAAGAAAAATGTATCCAGTAATACTGTGTGCCTTGAACATATAAATGCTCTTTTTCAGGTTTTGAATTAGCTTATTCTGTCGGGAGCTATTGTAAATGGAATTTTATAGAGTGACTTAAGCGTGCAGCTTAGTTAATGCAGCAGGGCAGAGGGGACACACTTGTGTGTGGCTGGGAGAAAGGGTGGGCATAAAATGCTGATGTGAACCAATATGCTTGCGCTTGCAATAGGTAACGCTGTCTTCCAGGGCGTGCGGATACAGCGACATGAAAAAAGGCAGCAGCAGAAGGGACAAATTTTTGTGCTGCATTTTCATATAAATGTCTCTCCCTGATCTCTGAGACGTGCATGAACCAACATGATATATTTGCTTCTCGTCAAATGTGATTGTGTTGAAGGAGGCTGACGTGATATAGGTAATAACTACATTTCTGTAGCTGCTATGGTGTTGTAAGAAGTTTCTTCAGCAAATAATGAAATGCTTGGAGCTCTTAAGCTTGAGGACAGACCTGGCAGCTTCTACATGTGGCAAAAGGGTTTGGATGCTGTTACAGAAAAGCTGTATATAAGTCAAGGTCCATCGCTCTGTCCCTTGCAGGAATAGTGTTAGGTTACCTGGATACTTTGTTTTTCCATGTCTTTTCATTACATGCCATAGCAATCGAGAAAACGCATGGAAAGAAGCATCTCGGTGCTTCGGTGAATGAGGCTGAACCAAACCCTAGTCTGGAGGCAAACTACCCTGTCTTCAAAAGTCCAGCGTGCTTTTCTTTGGCTGACTCCATCATCATTGTAACGTATTGCTGTTAACTCTAGTGGTGCTTATTAGTCTCTTCCAGTCATACCCCCCATCACCTCCCCTTTCACCCACCTCCTGTCACACATGTGGAGAGCACAAAGTTTGTAATTCTGGCCTCTTCCTTTAGTATAGGTACTGGTATTCTGCCTTTTTAGGTGTCATTTGGCTCTTCTTAGTAACTTTTCTGTATGTACATAGAGACTTATATAATTATTTAGTCTATAAATAATTGTTATCTATATTTAGAAACGCATATGATATTTATTTTTTATATATATAAAAGAAAACAGCTGTTAGTTCATCTTTTCTTGCTGTTCATCTACACAAGCATCCATTCATTTGGGGTCTACTTCGAAACCTGTTTGCTTTCCCGCTAGTAGTGCCCAGTTGGGGGGGCATTAAGACATACTTTCACTTGCTATTTTTAACCCGTGTCCTTTTCTAGCGTTCCATGAGTGCATGTGTAACGTCAGGCTCTCAGGGATATGTCATCACTATTCCCTGGAACAGGAACAAGAGGTGCACTTGAGAAATGACTTTATTACGACACATGGACATGACCTGAGCTCAGCTTAGCAGTCATCATCCAGACAGAGGGTCAGGGGCGAGCTCCGACCAGATAAGATGTCTCTGGTAAAATAAGCACGTCTATTAAATGAATCCTGCCTCTGAATGTGACAATACCTACTGTATTGCGTTTATACCCACAGTTTCGAGGAGGACAGAATTCAGAAGATGATGATGAAAGCCTGAAAATGTCTATGAATATGCAATTTTCACTCTATTGTCAGGCGCACAAAATATCAAGAAGGTGCTTTCTGGCTTGAATATTCACAAATCCAGAAAGCCCTCTGACAATTGTCTTGACCTCTGAAATTGGTGATGGAGGAGTTCTTGCTGCTTTGGTTCAGAAAGGTTGAGGAGGTCATCTTGGGGCGACGAATAAGTCCCTTTTCTGCACCGTAACCATTGTGAACCTTTCCAGTAGATGGGAAGGGTTTTATTATCCTCCTTCAATATCGGGTGACACAGCAGGTGTGGGAGAGGTTTTATTTTGTTTTTTCCATCTTTTTTCTAATTTAAATTGAAATGAGGATGCGATAATTATCATAAACAGTGGTGGAAAATGCATGGGACGTAGCTCTGCTGAGGAGTTTTATTCTTCAGAGAACGGAAAATTGGCCTGTGCTCTCCCAGATTACTGGAAGTGCTCGGTTTGAGTTCTGCTTTATCTCCTCTCAGGGTGTGTCTTCCCGATTTTTGGATAGCAAAACTCAGATAATTATTCTTCCTGAATATTTTTGTCATCTTGCTTGTATGTGCATTCATCAGTGTACGCATAGCCTGCCGGGCATTGGGAATTAGATTGAGAGGTCTGCGTCTTAACTCTGCAAATGCTGGGATTGTTTTCCCCTCTTCAAGATAGAAAAAACATTTTGTGATGGTATGAGAAATTGAATTTACTAGTATAAATAACCCCCTCTCCCTGCCTTCGTCCAAAATGCCCTTCTAGGTAAAGCGCTCACCTTCTTACAAATGCAGCTACAACTTAACCTCCTTTGAAATCTATTTACAAGCAACTTTATACTAAAATAGGAACAAGTTTTGGATTTATTTGGGGATATCCCAATTAATTACGGGAACAATTCTTTGTTTTCCCATTTGTGAGCCATTCAAAAGGAGCTTTTAGTAAACAATAAGAGTTTTATGATAAAGCGTTTACATGGGGCGTCACGTGGGGGAAATGTTTGCTTGGTAATAGTGCAGAAATCTGCTTTGGGATGGGTATTTCAGACTCTTGAGAGATGCTGGGAGCTGTGCTCCTGTTGTCCCCGCTAGAAGAAGGTTTTCTTCTCTGATGCCATGAGTTTGTTGTCTTTTGTCATCAAAATACAAAGTACAAAATGCACGTAGCCAAAAAATTGTCCCTTCTCTGTCCTTATACTTTCAACTGATGTTATTCAGACAGTGCATTTTACTTTCTAATCCCCACTCAAACAGAAAACCTGAGAAATGCTTACTTTTATATGCTAAGAGCATTTTTTTAAAGGATCTTTTTTTTTTTCTCTTTCAGACCTGGGCCTGGATCAGTTTATAGTGAAACGCTATGATGGGAAGGTGAGCACATTAGAACATTAAGTGTATATTATTCAATGGCTTTTTGACCAAGAGTCCTTTAGTTATTACCTGCATGTGGGTATAAGTTAAATGAAGTATTTAAAGTATTCTCTTCCAAGCGTATTGTTGTTTAGTGGCATTGCAGTGCTTTTTATGTAATGACAATGAAAGAGAAAAATATATATTTTTTTTTTTAAAGGGGTCTTATTTTAATGTTTACAGACAAAATACTGCTGCCTCTTCTAAACTGTTGGCTGGGAAATTATAGGTTGTAATCACATTTCCTTGCTGCTTCTTTATGAGTGTATGGGAGCCCTACAAATTAATGCCGTTTCAGGGCGAACTCACTTGACCTTTACCTTCCAGACTCCTCTCCAGATTGCTAAAGGAAGGAGACACTCTTCTGTCTTTATCTGCATCCCCAGCATGTTCTCCACCCCATCAAATACCCTTACTTCGCTCCCCTTTTGAACCCTAGGTCCTTACTTCAGTGGTACGTGACTGTTCTGGATGTTTGTGCCGTCACAATACGTGTTGGTAAAATGTTGAGGATGCTCTGATCTAGTTTTGTCTGACTGCATAAGTGGACCCACGTAGCAATTATGCAAATTGGAGACCCAGTTAACCACACCGTAAATCCCATTGGTATGGAGGAGTACAATAAAGGCAGCTCTGGCCCTAGGACTAGCAGCTCGTATCGACTTCTTGATGCAGATGACTGCAGGTTAGTTAATTTTCCATCATGCCACCACGGGCACATAATGGTACTCCAGCTTTTAGCAATATTTTCATTTCATCTGCATCATCTGAAGATTAAGCTTCGGTGTTTTTCCAAAGGGAAGTCAGCATCTGATCTCTTCATTGCTGAGCGGTGTACCTGACACGTGGTGTCAGGCATTTCCAGAAAGCCTTGACGCTGAAAAAATGCATTTAAAGCTTTATATAAACTTGGTGTGGGTGCAGTTCCCTGTCTTGTTTTGTGTCTAGTAGGGAACGGTAAAGACAGAAGGTGATCAAATACTTGGGGTCTCAGTCATTCGCAGTGTCCAAGTGTTCCGGTTACCCAGGCAGCAGAGCAAGATTTTGCTTGAAAACAGACAGTTGGAAGGTATTATTTTGGCAGTTAGTTTTGATGCATAAAACTACGAAGCGTGTTGTGAATGCTTGTTTTCTTCTCCCACTGCCACAAACCCAATGTCTGCTTTTCATGCTTCCCAAAAAAAAAACCCCAACCAAACCCTAAACAAAAAAAGTACATGTATTCTTTGCAAAATATCAAATGTTTCTCCCTCTGGCTTATGACAGTCTATTTTGCATCCGCTCACTTTCATCGTTTCCTCGTGTCAAGCTATCACACTCATCCCTTAGGCTTTACATAAACAAGATTTGTTTGTAGGGAAGAAATGCTGAATCCCAGACTATTTTTTTTGCTAATCGTTCCTCTGTTCCTGAGCACTCCGCAGCTGGTTCCTATCACATTGGATAAAAGATCCGAAGGCAATCCTTTTGCTGAACTCAACTTTCTGTTTCTCTGCCCCTCAGCACCGAGGGCTTGAATCGCAGTGCGTTGGGATGTGATGGACACAGTCACCGCACAGGGGTGTTGAAAACCCCCACAGTTAGTGTTTGAGGTATCGTGCTTGACTGTGCATCGTCATCCATGCTCTTGGGATCTTGCCGTTCAGCGTGGTGAACACCTGTGCTGGCTGAAGGATGGAGAACAGATAGCCTTTGCCTTCGCCTTATGCGCTAACCACCTTTCGCTCTGACCTGTAGCAGAGTGAAATTGCTTTTTATATAACTTACAGATGTCAGTGCTGCACTTGGATGTCTGTGTGCTGTGGTTTGAGTAGTCTAAAAGCGAGGCAGCAGATTTAGGGTACTGCAATGGACTTTTCTTTATTGTTATCTTTTCCTGGGACCTATTTTTCCCACAGTCTAATAACACCCTAGAAGCAGTTTGCCCTGTCGAAAATGAAGAAATAGAGGTTCGTGTTTGCTTGGCTGTCTGCCTAAAGACGCCTTGGGACTGGCTAAATCTGGCTGTGGCTATTAGGGTAGCGGTGATGTCCAGGTGAGAGGATAATTTGGAGACGGTATAAAATAAGTTGGCCTTGGCTCTCCATTGGTAATGAAAGAAGCTCACAGTAGATTGATCTGTCTGATAGCATCTTGTTCTCATTTTATTGCTTGCTTTGGGTTTCCGTTTAAAAAACACTGTCTTTACTCAGTCCAGTACTGACTGAGGTGATGCAGAGCCGACCTTAATCCTTTGAGTTTCACTTGCATAGTAGCACCTGAGGGATAAAACCCTTTTCCATCTGTTCCTCTTTGCCTGTTTCCAACTACGGATTCCTCTTGGGTTATCGAAGCATCCTGAAGACAACTTTCTGGCGCTTTCCTTTTGTGTGTTGGCGGAGCTGATGAGCTTGAGCAGGAGGGTGAAAGGTCCATCGTACCCTTAAGCATCCTTAGGAATATCACGCAGAGGTAATGGGATTTGTGGTACAGGCTCAAAAAGTAATAGGCCCGTTCCCTGGAAATTTCCTCTTCGTTTTTAAGGTGAAAGGGGTTTTTGATCAGTCAGACACAAGCAAGCTGTGGTACTGAAAAGTACTGACAATCTGGAGGATAGATCCTGGCTGAAGAGTAGAAAAGAAAACTAATTTTAGTTCCAAGAGAAGATGTATGCCCGGGGTTTGCATCCAAGTAATAATTTAGAAGGAGATTCAGTTAAAAGAATAGAACCAGCTGTGCAGTCAGTTGCATTTTAATTACACAGTACAGGACAATGTTTAAAGTATCGGTGTGAATTCTGGGCATGTGTGTTTGAGGTTTAAATGCAACAGCATTGGTAAGCAGATGTATGAGCTGTTATTTTCACAGAACCAATTTTATTTACATAAAACTACCATCAAAACAACTAATTGGCTGTCGTGTGGTGACTGGGACTGGTTTTGCAAAGGATTTTCTGGAGTGATGTGCCTCTATATTGTAATTGTCTCAGGTTTCTAAAGCATCTTGCTGTGCATGTGATTGAATGTTATGGTGAGAAGACAAAACTCCCTTTTTTTTTTTTTTTCCCCTCTTCCTGTCCCTCCTTCTTCCTAGTGATAATTTATAGAGTTGATGGAGAGGGAGGTAAATGTTACTGCCTCATTAATGGGAACAATGCTCCTGTAATTTGAGCCTAAATGCTTTTTCTTCGCTCATTGAGAGACCAAAAACCCTGGAGACATTAATCCAGCAAAAACCCTTGGTCAGATCTGTTTGCCAACATGAACTCATACTTTTCTGTGGCCTGCTGCTGGGCTGAGTGTGTAGGGAGGCAACTCTGTCCCTGGCTCCATTTTTGTCTTAAGCGTGGTGGTTTCTCCTCCAGGGAAGCAAGCTCTGGAAAGCAGAAGAAAAGAGGCATTGATTACTATTCATTGAGTGGGGTAAAAAAAATATCTGTCTGCCAATGTTTCAAAGGGTTCATACTGAGCCTGAACAAAAGACTGATGTGAGAATAGACACCATCTAACGTGTAGCTCAGGGTGCTGTGGCGTGAAGGTGTCCAGACCACAACTGGCCATCTGCTCCGTTTCCGCCATGTGTCTTTCCTCCTCTTGCGTTTTGGCTGTGGGGAAGCAAAGGCTTTCTCAACCCATCTGCAAAGCACTGTGCTTGTCGGTGCTGCAGGAGAAATCTCCCCTGGTGTCCCTTCTTCCATCCTGCCGTCTTGCAAAGTGTCCCTCTAGTTAGGAGGAGCGAGGTCCCGTTTAATTTAAGATGTGCTGTTCCACTGCTGCTTAGTGTTCATTAGGGCTTAAGAAGGGGCTCTTTTGAGAGCATAGTGGAGATGGTCTTCCCGTGTCAGACGTTCAAACTGAGGCATTGTACTGTTTCATCGTTTCGCTTGCATCTCGCTTAGCAGGATGATAGTGATGAATAAGCTCTCACTAAATACAAGTTTATATCTTAGTGCATGTAATGTGGCGTAAGCTTCATGACTGTTATGTAAGTTGTAATACAGACTTTGTTTAAGATTTTCTTTTTTCATTCCCTGTTTACCTGACTTTTTTTTTTTTGGTTTATGCATTAATGACTGGCAAGCTTAATGTCTCAAAGAAAAAATAAAGCGATGCTGTTAGTGGGGTTCCTTTAAAGCCTGATCCAGTAAAGGGATGCTCCCCGGTGTCCCGCAGCTGAGCTTTCAGCAGTGCAGCCTGGTGGAAAGGTGGGAGCAGAGGCAGAAAATGGACGTGGTGGGTGTGCAGCATAGATCTGTCTTTGTGCAGTTGCGTTCTCATACCGGAGGTAAGATGTAGTGCTTTTAAGAGACCTCTAGCCTATTTAGGAGGAAAAAACCAAACACCACCCTAGATGGCTTATTAGTTTAACACAGAATACACTTGGCTTGCTTTTTTTTGTTCTTCTGTGGGGAATATTTCTTGCTACTGCTTAAAACGAACAAAAGCCTTCAAGCTACCAGCAACAGCTTACTCTCCTGCAACCATTGCTGCAGGAAGTAATTATAGAGGCTTTCAATGCCCTCTAATTAAATTTATGAATTAGGTATTTCCTGCCAGCATTTATATTTACATCTCTGGATGTTTGGGGATGCCGTAGAGTAATGCAGAGCAACAGCAAAATGAAGGAAAATACTTCAGATGGTTTCTGTAAAGGCCAGTAAAACGTCTGAAATTCGCTTCCACTGTATAATGCGGGCTGGTGTCACGGACCAATACAGTGTTCAGCTTAAACTACGCGTATCTGCCAAGGTCCTGTAACTGGAGGTGTATGTCAGCTGAAGAAGAGTTGCTGGGAGTCAGCTCGGAAGGAGTATTTCTTGCCAGATGATTTAAAGAGCATCTCGGGGGCGGATGAGAAAAAATGTACTTGGGAAGGATCCCCATGGAAAGGACTGGAGGTAGATGGACCGTCCTTTTCTGGTGGATTGAAGGATCTTGCTGCCAGGTTTGAATTTCTGGGGTCCTTTGCTTTGTGTATGAGCT